AGGAAGGCAGGCCCAGAGCCCTCTGATGGTACTCTCTGAGTTCAGAGAGGGCCTGGGGGAGCCTGGAACAGGGGCAGAGTGAAGAGGGCAGCAATCCCCTGCAGGAGATTTCTCCTTCTAGGCCTCAGTTTTCCCATCTGTAGATAATTTCTACATCCACGGAGGATTCCAGATGGCAGGAAATAGCCCTTGGAGTAGACCCTGGTCAGAGGGGGATGACCTTCTATAAAGGTGATGGTCCCATTTTCAAGGCTTTATAAGGCGAAACAATATGTGGATTTCCTCGCAGGCCACAGGGATAATCCTACCCTACACATGGCGGTGCTGCCCAGCAAGAGCTTCCCAAGCAAGAGACACTCACTCAAGCTGATTTAATGCAACCAAGGGCTGCAGGGGGCCCACCGTGTACTGTGTGGGGCTTGATGCTTCCCATGCATCATCTCATTTACCTTCACTACACACCTGTGAAGTGGGCAGCATTATTTCTATCTTAAAAATGAGAAAACTGAAGGTCAAAGAAGTCAAGTGAATTCTCCACGGCCACACACCTTATTGCAGCAAAGCTAGGGTGGGAATGTAGGTCTTCCAATTCCTGGCCCACTTGCCTTCACGTTCAAGGCCAAAGTTCCCATAGGCCAAGCCCTACTTTGCCCTGAAATCGAGAAGCTGTTTGTCTCCCATTCAGCGGGATAAGCATCCTGTTCCCCACAAACCCCGAAAGCCCCACAGAGGCTGCACTTGGGCGAGGAGCTGGTCTGGCCTGAAGACAGCCTCCCAGAGACGGCCCAGCCCCTCCTGGACAGGCTGTCCTTTAGGCAGCTAGCACCATGGGAATGTCCAGCGATGAGCCCAACTGATGAGGAAGGCTGACTGGTTTCTGGAGTTTTCTTTTCCCCTAAAGAGTCAGACAACTCCTAAAAGCTGCAGGATCCTCCTGCCATCAATGCTTATGATAACAATCCAAGAAAAACTGGATGCAGTCACCCATTCACCCTGGAGCCTGCCCCATGTTTTCAAGGTCTCTGCCCACTCGGTTCACCATTTACCTCAACGCCTGGCCCTGTTGCTGTGGGAGGGGCAGCAGTGGCGGAGCACCATCACAAAGTTCTCCTTTCTGGGTTGTGTTCCCAACACATGTACGCTGCACAAACGCACAGTAAGGAGTCGTCCAGGGACACCAACCCATTAAACAATGCACACAACTTCAAGTCCAAGTTAAGGTTGCAAACAGATTCCCTCCAAAGCCTCATTTCCCACAACCCTTAAGAATAAAATCCTGATAAAAAAAATTCAAGCCCAAGATGAATGAAACAGGAACCACCTCTTGAGTGTAAATTCCACCAGAGGCCAGAGACGGCTTTTTGGCATGGAAACTCTGCAGACAAGGGACGTTTTCCTCACACGGCCAACTCTCCCTCTTAAATGGAACATGGCTCAAGTTCTTCGCCCTCATAAGCAAGGCTGAGGAGACTGAGCGCTGAGACTGAGAGATTGGAAGGAATGTTAATTCAGGAGGGGAAAGATGAATGTCAGCACACTGTCATGAACAGTTTGGAAGGAAAACAGAGCATTCATTTCACAGGAGGACCAGCACAAGGCTGGGAAGATCCCACAGTCGCCCTCTGAGCCACTGCTATGGCAGGGTAATAACTTTTTCCCCCGCACAACATGGCAAAGGAATGGTCTCTGTGGATGGGGAGGGCTGATGTGGCACTACCAAGTCTTCAAACCTCATTCCTTTCCCACGAAGGGCCCAAAGAAGGTGAGAACATTCATAGCGTTTCATCACCTGATCCTTGGTGAATAAATGGCTTCCGGAGCCTAACAGGGCACGAACTCCTGGTGGGACTCACATCCATCCTGCTGGTGAACAAGCCAGGTGTTTTATTTCCTTCTTTCCTCCGAAATCCCAAACCACTTCCTGGCCTCGATGCCTCAAATCCTCCAAGGCTGGCAGGAAGTCTCCTCAGTGTCCCATATCACACATTAGCCTCCTACCTGGCTTTGAGCCTTTGATGGTGCTGTGGACTAGTGGAAGGAACTGGAGAGAAAGGTCTCTTTGGAGAGAGACCCACTCAGGTTTGAACTCCAGGTCCATCACTTCCTGGCTGTCTAACTTTGGGCAACTTCCCTTGACAGCTCCAGGCCACGGCCTTCTCTTTACTTTCTCCAACTGCCCTCAGGGTCAGCAAAGCTGGAGACTTTCCACAGTGGACACGCCCAGATGCTTTTTTTTTTCTGAGGAAGATTCGCCCTGAGCTAACATCCGCTGCCAATCTTCCCCTTTTTTTGCTTTATGAAGATTAGCACTGAGCCAACATCTGTGCCAGTCTTCTATTTTGTACGTTTGTCATTGCCTCAGCATGGCTTGATGAGTGGTGTGTAGGTCCGTGCCTGGGATCTGAACCTGTGAACCCAGGCTGCTGAAGTGGAGCGCATGGAACTTTAACCACTAGGCCATGGGGCTGGACCCCAGGTGCTTTTTTTTTTGATCAGCCTCTTGTGGTGGCTGTGGTTAGGGTCACTGGTGGTGTGGGTAATGCTCTCCTAAACTGGCCTTCCTTTCCAGAGTGTTTCACAACATGGGCTAATTCAACCTCCTTTTAAGCTACACTTTTGGCCACCATGCCCCTTCCTTCATGCTCTCAAACCAAGCAGTATTCTATCTATTGACATTGGTCTGATTGCTTCCAAACACCTCGTGTCCTTTCCTACCTCCCTGTTTTAGCTCAAGCTATCTTTTCTGCCTCCTCTCATCCCTGAACTCCTTTGCTGGCAAAATTTATCTTTTAAGGTCAAACTTGAATGTCTCTGAAGAGATTGCCTGCTCTTCTGTGCTCCCGCAGGACGTTTTATTGAGATTAGTTTCCTCCACTGGATTATGAGCTCCCTGAGAAGTGGCCACAGTAGTGGTTTGAAGAGCACAAGGTGGGTCTGAATTCTAGCCCTACCACTGATGAGCTGTGTGACCCTGGGAAACATGAGTAACCATTCTGTGCCTCATCTGTAAAATAGGGATAATAGCACCTACCTCCTAGGATTGCTATGAAGATGAAATGAGACACAACAAGTACCGCGCTGAGGACTGAACCCGACACATGAGAGATGTCCCACTAGCTATGAGTATTTGCATGCCTGGTGCCTAAAACACATGGGTATGAACACTGGACTGAGTGCTACAGTGGCAGTTTGTGTATGTGGATTACCTGGATCCTGGGGAAAGGTCCACATGTGATGACTGCGCACGTACAGTTGAAAGATGTGACTATTTAACTTACAAAAATTTCAAACACACAGAAGAAGAGAGAGAATAGTATAATGAACCCCATGTACCCAACGCCCAGCTTTAACAATTATTGACTCACGGCCAATCTTTTCTGTATCTATAGCCTGCTTCTCTCTGCCTCCGCAATACACACACTGGATTATTTTAAAGCAAATTGCAGATGTGAAGAAAGCAATTGTATGCTTTAGACTCTTAAAGGAGCTTCCAAAAAGGAAAAATGTCATTATGTATTTTCCTCATTATGGCTTGTGACCTAGATGAAGGCAACATTATTTTAGAGGGGAAGGGTGAAGAGGGGCCGAGAGGTCAAGGGCAGACAAGGGCTCCAGGCTGGAGTCCAGGGCTCTGTCCAGGACATCCGGGAAAGCTCGTGGATCTCAGACTGCTTCCTCAGAACACTCCCTCACCCCAGGGCCTTCTTAACCATCTTTGAGCTAGCCTGAGATATTCCACCTCAAAAATCGAATAATAGCAGTCTTTCCCAATTCAGAGAAAAAACCAAGTTAATGGATGGAATTCTCAATTGCAAGTTCTCCTCTCACGTATTTTCCTTAAACCTTGTAGTCTCTGTGTCCATTTGTCTGCAACCGAGTGCTGCTAGACCACAGAGTGAATAAACAGTGAAAAAAAGATTAATGGAGAACCCTGGAAACAGCTGACCAGTGTAATCTGACAGCTTTCTGTGGACACATCTTGTGGTTGTGATTGTGTACTGTGCAGTATGATACACATTCTGCTAGGAAAACTGTTCCTGCTTCATGATGGAATGATGAGCGACATCAGGTTCTCGGTCCTGTAAACAGTGCCATCTCCCAGGTGTTCCTCCACCTGGCAGAACTTCCGAACAGCTGCTCCGGCTGGAGAGAGCCAAGCAGGGGCAGAGCCTGGGCACTGGGAGACCCTACAGCAGGGGCACCGTTCGACCCTCACACTCCAGTTCTCAAGTGCCAGCGCACCGAGGGCAAGAGAATTTACAACGGGAGAGGGACACAATGCAGCAAGCAGGCTGATTCCCTTCTGGGGCAGACACAGAAATGAAGCTAACCAGAAAACTAATTCTCATAAAAGAAATTCCCCAGGATAATTTCTTATTGAGCATAAGGCCCAAGACAAATATTAGAGCTGGAAATTTTTCCAACACTTGGCTCCCTTTCACTCTTGGTATTCACACTTTCTGTTGGCTGATGCGGCTCACACATCCCAGAGTTAATACATCAGAGTGCACCCCAGCGAAGCTCCAGTCCCAGTTCTGAACAACCCCTCAAGTCGTGGCCTTCCTCACTGCTCTCTTCCATCTGGGCATGAGCAGTGCTCCACGGTCCTCGGCAGGGGGTGCGCACTCCAAGCTCGGGAACACAGGTGGATCCGAAGCGGAGAACCTGGCTCGGGCCTAGGGTGTAAAGAAGGAAAGAGGGAGGTGGAAATTGACTTGGAAAGGCAGTTATGGGGGCTGCCAATTCAGAGTTCAGGCGGGACCTAAAGGAGGCCTACTCCTCTCTCTGAGGAGATCACCTCACCAGGCCCGTCAGAGCTGGGTGTGTTGTCAATCCCTCTGCCCCTCCCTTAACCCTGGGCATCCCTGGTTCTCGGGTTACCCACCACTGGAAGTGACCTCTTGGGGACTGCTGGCCTCTCCTTGCTTTTCTAGCATTTGAGGACACATGTCACTTGGCTTATCAGACTGGATGAGACTTAAAGAAAGATACAGCACATGATTTTTAAATAACTTTATAATTTCCTGATGGGTTTAGTTTGTGAATAAAAAAGAAAAAAATGAACAAAGTGTTTACAATAATTATCAAGGCAAAGTTGACTATAACACAATTTCTTTGTAATGTCATTATCCTGTCAGTAACACAACTCTGGCCATCACACACACACACACACACACACATACACACACAGTTGAAGGCAGCGGGTGCATTTGCATCACAGACACCACCATTGCGGTTGCTATTGTCACCAAAAGGAACTCAAGCTACAAGGAGTCAGTACCCAGTGCTCCTCAGCTCCTCACTAAAGTGCAGCACTTCTCTTTGGAAGCAGAGGGGAGTGAACCCCAGAGAGACCCCAAGTCTCCTGGTGTGCTTGGCAGGTTCCTGGCTAGTCCTGCACGGGGGAAGCAGGCCAGACCAGGCCAGAATGGGTGGTGTGTTGCCCTCAGGTGGGTCTAGCTGCATTAGAGGATGGATGCAATACTGGTGTGGTGTGGAAAGAGGGGCTGGGCTCAGAGGGCTTGCTCTGGCCCAGGGGTGGATTCTCTGGCTTTAGTAGAGTTCACTTCCTTTCCTGACCACGGTATCTCTGGGGCCAAGAGAGACCGCCTGGGCCCGGATCTGGGGTCTAAAAAGCTTTAAAGGGAAAGAATCTAGGGACTGAAGCCAGAAAGAACTGAGATCTGAGTACAATTCATTCGCCTGGATTGCAGGCTCCAGGTAGCCCGTGCTTGGCCCACACTGGATGGGTCCCTGGATGATGTAGCACCAAGTGGGCAGGAAAGAGGTTCTGTGGCCTGTACAGGGCTGCTGCCAGGTGTGGGGCTTGAGAGTCAAGCCCAGGTTACCACACAGTATTAGGCACACTGAGCTGGGACCAACGTGGGCGTGAGGGTGGTTATGCAGTCACAAAGTGTGAAATCTCTACCCAGAGGTCCTGAGGATGTATAGGAAAAACTCTGGCACAACGGGGACTCTCTGAGCCCCAGGTTCCTGTTCCTTTTACTCAGCAGTTGCTTCCTTCACCCAGGCAGTCACCTACCTGGAGTGTGGTCATTGTGTTGCCCAAGCAGCCAGCCCAGCTGCCACCTAAGCCAACTTAGGAGGAGGGGGAGTTCGGCTGCCTTATAGCTTGAATTCCTTTATTAACATGATATTGGTTTGCATTTTCTTTAAATACAGCTCTTTAATTTTTCAGTTCTACAACTACTTTTCAATATCTTAATAATCTCAACAATGGACAAAATGTAACTGCCCCAATTCTCTGAACCACACAGACAATATCGACAAGCAGAGAAACGAGAGGAGGTGGGAGGGGACAAAAATCCGCTCCTCCCAAATCAATCCTAAAACCACCTCTCCCCCAAAAGAGTCAGGGGGAGAAATACCTACAGCAGGGTCACAGCACTCGCCAAATACATTGGGGAAAAATCAGCAGACACTTGGTTACAGCTTGGACACTAAAAAGTTTGGAAACAGTTTTTCTTAAAAAGAATAAGTAAAGAAGCCATTTTGTTCAGAAGGATTTCCTTGTAATATATATTTTTTTCTTCCCCAAATATTCCCTTAGTTCACATGGGGGAAACTCCAGATTCTTTTTCAAATATTTCTTTGAATGGTTCAAGTCACTGTCCTGAGAAGCCCGGGGACTGGCAGTGATGGATGGGTTGGCCTTGCAGGCTTTGCAAAGGGCAGCGTGCTGCACTGCCTCTCTTCTCTCTTCTCATCGCCTTTTCCATAGTTCTGAACTCCTGTAGGTCGGGAGATGAGGATGGGGAGGGAGACATGAAAGTTACTGATATTGCTGACACAGGGCCCACTGTGACTTTGGAGGTGCCATGTGAGGGTCACAATTCACGTGGCAACATATTTCTCAATTTGGTCTTTCCTCCAACACCCCAAGGGTAGCCAGTGGGTCCATGCTTAAGTAACGGAGTCAAACAGGAGGGCAGGATGGTTCTGGGATCAGCAGAACTCTCTAGCAGCAAATCCAAATGCCAATCCTGACCATCCACAGGGGAGGGATTAGTTCAGCAGTTGACTAAAACTTTGTGATGACTTCCTCTTCCTCTTCTCTCACTCTGAGGAATGGATGAGCCAACGAGCTCCTCACTGAAAACCAGACAGACTTTTGTTGACAAGAAGTGCCAAGTCACATCGCCACTACTGACACTGAAGGTGGTCTTGGGTGCAGTCTGCTTTACTAGTACTTCTAAAGCTCAAGTGTAAGGAAGAGAGAGAAGCACTTAGATCTTCTTTAGATTGTGAGGTACAAGGTCAAAGGTTAGAGCTGAGATAGATTTGGGGAATCCCATTCATATTTCTTAATATGTTAAAGACCAATTAAAAATTGTTTCCATTTCAAATGGTATCCAAGTCCTTGCAAATCTCAATTCAGATACTTCATTAAGAACTCAATGAGTACCTGGGACAGAGGTATATGAAAAGATGAGAAAGTCACATTGTATTTCTTTAGTCATGAGCCCCAGGTTGGATTCTACCCACTCTTCTTCTTCTTGTCCCCTTTAAGATGACCTTGATTTGGGGTACAGATCTTTAGGTGCTGAGGGGCAACTAGATTTGCCAGTGGAACGGATGAGTTTGGTGAACATTACAGGCAACCTGCAGTGCGTTTTCAAGGCTACCGACCTTCGGTAGCAGTTGAGGGACCTTGTGAAATCATGAAGACCAGAAGAGGGTCATGGGATGACAAGTCTTTGTGTGATGGGAATTGTGCATTTAGTATGTTGGCTCAATGGTCTAAACTCAGTAAGATACTCTAAATGCTAGAAACTGTATTAACTTTGCCCCTATAATATAAAGACAGGTCACGTTCACTGTTAAACTTTAGCCAGAGACTACTTTCATCTATGACCAAACAGTCCCCAGAACCACGTGAGATGCCAGGATGACCACCCAAGAAGAATCAAGGATATTCCCTGCTACGGTTCATGGAGACTAGACAAATGATGTCTACCCCAGAAATTTTTCTTCTCAGAAGCACTTACTTGTCCAGAGGACTTCCATAAGGTTTTGGAGGAAGCAACAGGAAGGGTTGAAATGAGAAGGGGAAGGAAGGAGGTGCAGTGAGAGTCATGTACCAAGTGGGCAAGAGTGGTAGGTACTGTATTTGATGGTAAAGGTAGAATAAGCGGGATCCAGGGAGACCTGCTTGATGCCTTCCCTTGCCAGACCAGCTAGAGAGCAGCCAGCCAGTACCAAGCCAGGCCACCTCTTTGGGCCTGGCCTCTTCTCCTTGATTTCTCTGTTCTGCTGTAGTCCTGGGAAGGATGTTATCATACCTCTGGTCTTTGCATTATGATACATAAAGTGAGATTCTAATATTCTAGCCCTAAAATACTGGGGGCTTTCTACATGATTTATGGGCAGTGCAATAAATAAATGGAATTGAGGTAACTGACCACAAACAACTATGGCACTTACTATCTAACTCTTGCACCCTCGCTCTGGCCAGCCTGGAAGCATCTCAGTAAGAAGTTTATGAGCAGAGTCCATTTAACCCTTTGATAAAGAACACTCTACAGCTTCTCACAGGGAGAGATTGTTTTACAGCGGGGAATCAGGGCAGCTGCAGATTTGACCATATAAGTTAATGGGACAGTCAAGGGCTGCTAGTGGGAAGATACTGAACTGATGGCTGTGATGACTTTACAGGCAGCATCAGATTCTTTGGGTGAGTAACTAGGGAAGGGGAAAGGAAAAAACGCAAGACAAAAACATTTAGCCCAGCAACTTTTATCAGAAGATGTGAGTGTCTGGTGGGTGTCTGGCCGTACAGGTGGTCACAGGGCTAGATTTGGGTTAAGTGGTCTAGTTCTTGGTGCCTGACTATTTATGATTGCCATTGTCTATGCTTGGGAAAAATGTCCTTCAAAATGCCAATACTTCCAACTGGATCTGCAACTTCGCGGTCAATTTTCTGATATGCAACATGGAGCTGGCCAAGTTCCACGATGTGCACAAAGATGTGTTAAGAAAACACTATCCGCTATCGTAGCCTTCTGAACAGAACACTCTTTCAGGGTAATAACAACAAACAAAAATCCTGAATCACCAAATGGAGTCCTGCAGGCAAGTAAGTGACTCAGCCCTCTGCCCCCAAAACCCATCAATTCCATTATAATGAGAAATGCTGAGTTGTGAAAGATTTTTCTAGAAAAGATACCTCCTATTAGGATGGGAGAGGGGAAAGGTATGCCTTTTACTGCTATGACTCAACCAGGTATGTCTCATAGAATCCTTTACACCTCTCTCTCACTGAAAAGATACTTCTTTCAAAGATGGGTGCCTAACAGTGACTTGCATGCAGTAGGCATTTCATATATTCTTTGAATCAAAGAAGGGAGAAAGGAATGTCTGTGGGATGAGAAACATTCATTTGGGCCAGAAGGAGGTTCCAGGCAATGCACGAGGCCCATGGTTCTGGGAGTGCCAATCAAGAGTGAAGCTAAAAGGGTGGAAAGGTGGGTCATGAACTTCAGTGACCACTGGGCTGCAAGAGCTTGGAGCATGCATGGCGGGAAGGCAGAAGCATTCTTTTGGGGCTCAGGGGCCTAGAATGCTGATCAGGGAGATGTTTGGGAGGAAGCAGCCTGACCCCAAGGAACAGTCGGTCATCTTCTACAGAGGCAGAGCCGCAGGTGGTGATGACAGTGCCTCAGCTCAAACCCTCTTCTCTTTCAATTAGAGACATATGATCTGACAAACCAAGTATAATCGGGTCAAAGGCCTTAAACAAGACGGACGAGGGGAGAACTGTTCACACCACCCTCTTGTTCACTGGTTGAGGAGAAGAGCAAGGACAAGTGTGACAGAGAGGGCTGGGTGAAGACTTGAAACCTGGGGTATTAGTGTTCACTAAGCCATCATGAGGCCTGCTTGTAGCTCCTCTGCGTAAAACATTATACATGAAAAGTAAACAAAAGAAACAGTAAAAAGAAGTGTCAGTTCTCTCTTTTCCCCTCTCTTTTATTCTAATCCTCTCTTTTTGAGATTTTTTTTTTTACCCTTTTAGGAGAAAGCACCTGTTGTGATATTAGAACAGTTAGCTCTCTGGTCCAGGGGGAAGCATTCTCTCAACATGTTGAACTCCAAGTAGATTCCAGATTTAGTTCTCATGTCAAGTACAGAGGTAAGAGGGCTCTCTATTACATGTCCCTCTGTAATGGCAGAGCCACCAGCTTCCACAGTTCTCCACTATTGATGACTGGATGGCAGTTCTTCATGGAGACTCAGCCACTTACCTGGACACCAAGAAAATTAGTATAGAGACAACATCCAAAGTAGAAAGGCAGAGTAAGATGACAGACATAGAAACGGCGCTGGAATCACACTTGAAGGACTAACCAAGACAGGATAGAGTTTGTAGTGTTTGTTTGGTGTCAAGAAGTTTCTGGGTGCCTGTTCCTTGTAGTTCTCCTTTCTTGGCTCCTGGGTTCACTCCATCGGGCTGCTGGGCTGGCCAGTCCCCATGAAGCAGGGTCAGGATGACTCTTCTAATGCGTTGACCACTTGCTCCAGGATGTCAGGGCAATGATCTGCTATCTGCTGGAGAATGGCATTGGCAAACTCCTGCAGTTCTGCATTGTCCCGTTCACCTTTTTCTAACTCATTCTGAAGCTGAAAGAAAAAGGAAAGATGGATTTCAGATAAAATAAAACAATCCTATTTGCACTGAGTTAAGAATTATTGTTCATCAATAAATGACATTTACAACATGGATGAACCTGTAGGGCATTATGCTAAGTGAAATAAGCCAGACAGAGAAAGACAAATGCTTTCTTTGGTATCACTTATAGGTGTAGAATCTAAAAAAAAAGTAGAACTCATAGAAACAGAGTAGAATGGTAGTCACCAGGGACTGGGGAGCAGGGGAAAGTCTGATAAAAGGGTACAAACTTTCAGTTATAAGATGAATAAGGTCTGAGAATCTAATGTATAATACGGTGACTATGTTAATAATATTATATAATTGAAACTTGCTAAGAAAGTATAACTAAAGTGTTCTCATAAAGAAAAAAAGGAAACGTTGAGATGACGGATGTATTAACTCGATTGTGGGAATCCTTGCACGATGTATACATATATCAAATCTTTGTGTTGTACACTTTAAATATATCACAACTTTCTTTGTTAATTATACTTCAATAAAGCTGAAAAAAAGAGAAATGACAAAAAAAGGCTCTTTCTACGTGAAATCTTCCTGCATCAAAATTAACAACCAGGAAAGTGTAAAAGTAAATATCATACATCTCTTTATGAACACGAGGCCTTGACGTTAAGTGACTAGTCCAAGACCCAAAGATGGTAATTTGCAGACTGGAACTCCAATCCCAGGCCTCTCGTTCCAGGTGAAATGTTCTCTCCACTGTGTACTGTGTATCAGGAGCGGGAGAGGGGTACATGGGTGATCTCAGACAGGATCTTAATCTTGCGTAATGGTCTTTGACCTAGGGAAACTTATAATTTTAAAGACTTTCCTCATTTGCTATGTACCATTCTTTTTTTTTTTTTTTAAATTTTTATTTATTTTCCCCCAAAGCACCAGTAGATAGTTGTATGTCGTAGTTGCACAGCCTTCTAGTTGCTGTATGTGGGATGCGGCCTCAGCATGGCTGGAGAAGCGGTGCGTCGGTGTGTGCCCGGGATCCGAACCCGGGCCGCCAGCATCGGAGCGTGCACACTTAACCGCTAAGCCATGGGGCCGGCCCAACTATGTACCATTCTTATTCAGTACATTAGACTATCCTACCTTAGGCCTGCTAATTTAGCTAAGGAGATTATTTTGAGAAACATAAGATAGTCTTCCTGTTTGTTTAGGAGTAAGTTCATTTCTAACTTCCTATTGTTTTAAACACTCTTTGGCATGTCTTCTCAAACATTAAACCAACATTTATTGAGGGCCTACTATGTGCTAGGTGCTGAAAGATTAATGGATTTGGTGCTTGCCCTGAAGACCCATTTAGGTTAATGGAAGAGACAAACACACTAACAGATAATTACAACCCAGTATGGTAAGGACCGTAACTGAGGCATGTACATGTGCTACAGGGGAAGACATAAGAATGACAGTTTCATCCTGGAGGAGTCTGAGAAGATGTTACTAAAGGCAACATGTGATCTGGATCTTGAGAGCTGAATAGAAGTTTGCCTGGGAGATCAAAGACAGAAGAGGCTTTCAAGCAGATGAAACAAATGCAGATCCGCAGAGCTATGAAAGGGCTTGGCACAGATCTGGGGAAGAGTAAAACATTCAATTCGGTTGGAGCATAAGGTAAGGGGACTGGGGCAGAATAATAGGAAATGAAGCAGAAGACACAGACTGAGGCCAGATTGTGTATGTAAAGCTAAGGAGCTCAGATTTAACCTGGTTAAAACAACAACAACAACAGGAAGTCCAAGAGTTTTTAAAATGTGCAGTGACATGATTAGCTTCATTTTCTTAGAAGATAAGTACCAAGATAAAAACACGTGAGATTGAGTGGAAGGAAGAAAACGTCAAGGGAGGTTATTGTTACAAGCCCAGGTGAGATTTACAGAGGGCTAAAACTAAGGTAGGTCGGGGGACGTGGAGAGGAACAAACGGATGTGGGACTTTCCAAAGGTAGGACAGATAGGAGGTGGAGTTAAGTGAGAGAGAATGAAGAATAATTTTGACAGTTCCAGCTGGAGAAATTAGACAAATAAGATTGAAAACACAGGAGGCAGAGCAGGTTTTAGGGAAAGAGGGAAATTAAAAACTGAGTGTAAAGTGTAGTTGATAACATAGGCTGCCTGGGTTTCAATGTCAGCTCTGCCAATTATTAGTTTGTATGACCTGGACCTCTCTGAACCTCAGTTTCCTCATTTGTAAAATGGAGTAATAACATTTATACAGTTGTTTTAAGGACTTAATGTTTTAAGGATTTAGTGCAATGTACTGCACTTTAATGTAAAGTTAATGTAATGTAAAGTTGTTACTGTTGTTTTTATTAAATAGATAAGATTACCCAGAAAGAACATGTTGATTAAAAATCCAAAAGAATCAAGTTTTAATTACACTGTTGATAAAATCTAGATGCTCTAAGCCTGGAATTAGCATGCTACTTCTTCAAATATATCTAAGAGTTGGGAACAGACTTAGTAATCTTCTTTCTGGTAAATATTGACTTTAGTCAATTTACAAAGACCAGGACATACAAGGGTCAGATTTAGACCACATTAAGTCTTGGTGCATCTCAGGGTCTGGCTGAGATGAGACAATATATAATGATAAAAGGGACACTCCACCAAGAAGACATATCACTTATAAATATATACGCACCCAACACAGGAGCACCAAAGTACATAAAGCAACTATTAACAAACCTAAAAGGAAATATTAACAATAACACAATCATAGTAGGGGATCTTAACACCCCACTTACGTCAATGGATGGATCATCCAGACAGAAAGTCAATAAGGAAATAGTGGACTTAAACGAAAAACTAGACGAGATGGACTTAATAGATATATAAAGAGTACTCTATCCAAACACAGAAGATTACACATTCTTCTCAAGCATGCATGGAACATTCTCAAGGGTAGACCATATGTTGGGAAACAAGGCAAGCCTCTATAAACTTAAGAAGATTGAAATCATAACAAGCATCTTCTCCAAACATAATGCTATGAAACTAGAAATCAACTACAAGAAAAAAACTGGGAAAGTGACAAAGATCTGAAGACTGAACAACATGCCAATGAACAACCAATGGATCACTGAAGAAATTAAAGGAGAGATCAAAAAATATCTGCAGACAAATGAAAATGAAAAGACACCATGCCAACTCATATGGGATGCAGCAAAAGGGATCCTGAGAGGGAAACTTACAGCAATACAGGCCCAGCTTAACAAACAAGAAAAATCCCAAATAAGCAACATTAAACTACACCCAACAGAATTAGAAAAAGAAGAACAAACAAAGCCCAAAGTCAGCAGAAGGAGGGAAATAATAAAAATCAGAGCAGAAATAAATGAAATTGAAACAAAAATAACAGTAGAACGGATCAATGAAACAAAGAGCTGGTTCTTTGAGAAGATAAACAAAATTGACAAACCTTAGCCAGGGTTCTCACTAAGAAAAAAAGAGAGAAGGCTCAAATAAATAAAGTTAGAAATGAAAGAGGAGAAATTACAACAGATACCACAAAAATACAAAGGATTATAAGAGAATACTATGAAAAACTATGTGCCGACAAATTGGACAATCTAGAAGAAATGGATAAATTCTTAGACTCATACAACCTCCCAAAACTGAATCAAGAAGAAATAGAGAATCTGAACAGAACAATCACAAGTAAAGAGATTGAAACAGTAATGAAAAACCAGCCAAAAAATACAAGTCCAGGACCAAATGGCTCCTCTGGAGAACTTTACCAAACATTCAAAGAAGATTTAATACTTATCCTTCTTAAACTATTCCAAAAAATAGAGGAAGATGGAACACTTCCTAACACATTCTACGAGGCCAACATCACCCTGATACCAAAGCCAGACAAGGACAATACTAAGAAGGAAAATTACAGGCCAATATAGCTGATGAACATAGATGCAAAAATCCTCAACAAAATATTGGCAAACCGAATACAGCAATACATTAAAAAGATCATACACCATGATCAAGTGGGATTTATACCAGGGACACAGCGATGGTTCAACATCAGCAAATCAATCAATGTGATACACCACATTAACAAAACAAGGAATAAAAACCACATGATCATCTCAACAGATGCAGAGAAAGCATTTGACAAGATCCAACATCCATTTATGATAAAAACTCTCAACAAAATGGGTACAGAAGGAATGTACCTCAACATAATAAAGGCCATATATGACAAACCCATAGCCAACATCATACTCAATGGGGAAAAACTGAAAGCCATTCCTCTGAGAACAGGAACAAGACAAGGGTGCCCACTCTTGCCACTCTTATTCAACATAGTACTGGAGGTTTTTGCCAGAGCAATTAGGCAAGAAAAAGGAATAAAAGGAATCCAAATAGGCAAAGAAGAAGTGAAACTCTCCCTGTTTGCAGATGATGTGATCTTATATACAGAAAACCCTAAAGAATCCATTGGAAAACTATTAGAAATAATCAACAACTACAGCAAAGTTGCAGGGTACAAAATTAACTACAAAAATCAGTTGCATGTCTATACTCTAATAACGAACAGAAAGAGAACTCAAGAAGACAATCCCATTTACAATTGCAACAAAAAGATTAAAATATCTAGGATTAAATTTAATCAAAGAGGTGAAAGATCTATACAACGAAAACTATAAGACATTACTGAGTGAAACTGATGATGACATAAAGAACGGAAAGATATGAATTGGAAGAATAAACATAGTTAAAACATCCATACTACCTAAACCAATCTACAGATTCAATGCAATCCCAATCAGAATCCCAATGGTATTCTTCACAGAACTAGAACAAAGAATATCAAAATACATATGGGGCAACAAAAGACCCCAAATAGCTAAAGCAATCCTGAGAAAAAAGAACAAAGCTGGAGGCATCACAATCCCTGACTTCAAAATATACTACAAAGCTATAATAATTAAAACAGCATGATACTGTCACAAAAACAG